CCCCCCCCCCCCCCCCGAGCAACTAAGTCCTCTCATCCGAGAGATGGGGGCAGGGGAAGGCATGGCAGATTCCAGACGATTAATGTTGTCAACAAGCAAGACGTAAATGGTCCCTGCACCTTCCCCGCAGTCATAGGGCTCTCCGATAAGTGCATGCTTAATAGATGTATGTAGCTGGGTATTCCCTACGTAAAGTCACATCCAGTACAGTGCTGACAATGAACCTCTGCTTTCCCCCCCATCAATACCCGTCCCAACTCCAGGTCAAAGAAAGGTTGTCGATGGAGAGAGGAGAAAATTAAAGTTAATAAAATGTAATGAAGTAAAACAATAAAAACAATAAATAGAAAGAGTAAGATACATAGTAAAGTAATATGTCTCTTTTCGGGGTCACCCCATGACCCGTTAGCTTCCTCTTTTTCTTTTCCTATTCGAAGAGTACTAATCCCCCCCCCCCCCACGAAGAGGTGGGTCTAGTTGGGGGGGATTGCTCTCTGGTACTGGTAACAACATCTTTATAAATCTTCAGCACTTATGCATGTATATGACCTACTTGTGTTGCAAGCGCCATGAAACTCTTGCTAAAACAAAAAAGTAAAATAAGAAAATGAAACTATTATATATTTTCTGTGTTTAATTCATCATAGGTTGGTTATTATAATTACAGCCTGAACATTTCAGAACCAAACAGCATCCAGCGACTGTTTGATGTCATCTTGGTTTTCCCTGCGCACTTTGGTAGAAATGGCAGCCTCTCCACTCTTTCTCACCCGCCTTGCTTGAAGTGCCTGTTGCTTTTGTTTTGCTTGACGTCGGATACGACCTCGTGCCACCTCAGGGGCAATGCTGGAACACGCAATACTTGGGGTAGCGGTTGACATTCTTTCAGACTTTACTTGAAGATGTGAATTGACATGTTGCCGGCTCTCTTCATCTCTAAACGGTCTTAGCTCACGGTTGGCCCTGCTGAGGTCCTCCAAAACGTCTTCTGACTCCTCCACAGGTTCTAACTTGTCTTGACTCAAACTGTTATTGCTCTCTGTGTTTTCTTGAGTGGGTACCTCACTTGATGTGGGAAGTGTATCACTGTGTGGGGATAAGTTTTCACGAGTACTTTTTGAGGTCACTTTGACAAAACCTGTGTCTGTACCTTCAGCAACTGCAGCGCTTGAAGTTGACACTGCTCCCACATCACCAGCAACATCAGACTGTGCGGGAGCATCAAGGCTTGCAACAGCCTGCTCGCCACTCATCTCGCCAAAGCCAAGAGCACAAAGGTTTTTCTCAATTGCCCCTTCTCCTTCTGAAGACTGAGCCAGCCACTTAAGAATTCGTGGGTCTTTGCCTGGGGGTGGTTTCCCTTCTTCTTCATCTGCATGTTCCTCCTCCTTGTCACAGGTTTCCTCTTCCTCTTTTCCATCGGTATCGTTCCCATCATTTTCTTCATCATCCTCTTCACTGTCTTCCCCATCACGTTCCACCTCTTGGTTGTCCAGAAGTCCAATTTCATCCATCGTCTGAAGATATAACAACAACAAAAAAACAACAGATTGAAATACATACTTTATATAAATATACATATATATATATTTTAACACTTGATTTTTCCAATGAGTCTCCCGCAGACTGGAGGTGTAGTTTTTGACTTTATTCTTAACTCATTCGCTACGTATTATTTTCAGCTTGTGGACGAATTTTTTTCGGGAAGGCGAGATGAGATGATGACTGGTGCGCAGTCCAAAGGTATTGAGGCCACAAATTCAAATAAATATTTACATATTATAAACCAAAATTTTCAGTATGATTTGTAGAATACATCTGTTATGTTTATTTGTGTATTTTTCAACTTTGGTTCCTGTAAGAGGCGATTATGCAACACAATTTTGCTTGGATTCGGATAAAATTTGAAAATAAAAAATTTACCATCTTCGGTGAAACTCAAAAAATATGTTTGTACCGAGTCAAACGACACATCAAAATAACCATAAATGAATATAGAACTGGAAATATTGAAAAATTTGTAGTTATTTATATACATTCCATAAAATTTGAACATTTGGATCATGACATCCGACATTGAAAAAAATTTTTTTTAACTTTATGATCTTGAAAAATGGGCAAGATGCATTCACAAACAGAAAAAAACACTCGTATCGTATTTGGAATTATTCAAAATTGCATTTGAAATAAACCTACACATGTCTTGAGCGGTACTTTTTGTGTAATTTCACCAAAAAAATAGTGATTTTTGGGAGAGAAAAATAATTTGACTATTTAGATCTAGATCTAGGACTAGGACTGAAAAATATTGATTTCTCAATAACAGAAATGGCAATTAGAGCCCAATCATTTCAATATTCTAAAAAAGAGTCTTACATTCCTTTAGTGTGCAAAATAATGATATATTTTGTTGTGTAAAAGTAGTAAGACTGGTGTCTGGGCTATAATTTGAGCATCCCGATAAAACAAAGTCATAAAAACTTCAAAATCGTGTTTCAAAACTGAATCAAAACTTCCGATTTTCGGTGGAAACGCTTGACCCGCAAGTCAACATTATAGTATGACCTTTATTGTAACATGGAGATGTGGATAGGAATAGAATCTAAGCTAAAAGTGAACGTCGGTTCTCAAGCGTACTGACGCCACTTTAGCCGCGCCGCCCCCCACGGCGCAGCGTAGCTAATTAGTCAAAGTCAGTCTGTGGGAGAGTGTTTGTCGTTGATCCCAACAGAAGGCACAAGGATTTCTTCGCCAGGAGGTCTACTTGCTCGTTTCCTTGGATGTCCACATGGCTAGGTAGCCATGCAAACACGATACTTTTCCCGGTTTCAGTTAAGGCGTGTATTTTGTGTGGTAACCTAACTATTTTTGGGTGTAGGAGTGTGTAATTTGTAAGTGAGGTGATGCAAGACAGGGAGTCAGAAAGAATAAGGAAAGATTTGTTAGGAGAATTTTCTACGTAGTCCAGTGTCATGTCAATGGCAGTGGCCTCTGCAGAGAAAATGGAGGCTTAGGGATGGAGTCTCCTCTGGAGTGTATTGTTTGAAGATAGGGCGGTGGCTTGCCTCGGCCTGGAGGCTCTCCACTGGAGTAGTGCAGAAAGCCCAAAGAGCGAGGCGGAGTCCTTGCTTTTGCACTGGGTCTAGCATTTTTAGGATGTGTGGTTTTGTCGATCCATAGACTTGACAGCCGTAGTCAAGCCTGTATCAGACAAGGGAGATGTACAAGTGGAGAAGGTGTTTTGAGTTCCCGCCCCACTCTGGATGCTATAACATTTTAAAAGCATTTAACGCTTTCTGGCACCTCACACGAAGGTCTTTATTGTGTGGTATGAATGTTAGTTTTTTGTCAAATATAACGCTGAGGAATCGAGCGTGGTCCAGGACAGGAATCTTTTCCATGTATAGCGTCAAATCCGGCTGCAGTACTCGTCTGCCTGATCGGCAGAAGTGCACTGCAACCGTCTTTGACAGGGAAAACATGAAACCGTTATTGTTTGCCCACTTTTCAAGTTTGTGCAGCTGCATTGTGATAATCAATGACAATGTACCTGATCAAAGGCATCAGCCAAGTCTTTCGTGAAACCACTAGCTGCAACTTCTACATCAAGATCATCCACTCGCCTGGAAAGAAAATGAAGTTTAAAAATAACCAAACTGTTAAACGCACAGGGCATTTGCGAAGTGGAAATGCACTACATAATAATATATATTAGACCTGCATGTGAGCCTCAACCAGATTGTCTCAAAATTTTGCGCAACCCCCCCCC